TTTTTTTTTTTTTTGGCTCAATCACACCAGACCGACTGTCTTTGTCTGTCTGACAAGCGCCATGTTGATATCAACATCCGAGCCCCCACCTGCTGCAGCTGTGAGACCCTGGGACTTGTAGTTCCCCCCTCCCCAGGGTGACGGGGAGACCCGCCGCGCCGGGACTACAACTCCCAGCGTGCCGCGGGCGMGCGGCGCGCCAATAGGGCGGCGGAGCTGAGCTCGGGGCGGACTACAACTCCCGGCATGCTTCGGCAGCCATGACGTTATCTAGGGCGGAGGGGCGGCGGGACTACAATGCCCGTGATGCCTCGGGGTGCGGTGAGGCGGGCAGGAAGGGGGGTAGGATTGTCCCGGTAAATAGCACCGGGGGACGCGATGAAGCTGGTAAGTGCCCGCGGCAAGGGACCATAGGGGCGAGGAGGGGTCTCGACCTTCCCCCGGCGGCGGGGGGGCTCCCGGGGTCGCCTCCGGGCTGCGCAGTCTCAGGCTCGCCGCGCGTGAGGGGAAACTGAGGCGCGGGGAGGGGCGCCTGAGAGAAAAGGGGGGAACGTCATCCTGATGGAGTTGGGGAGGAACTGAGGGATAAGGGGGTGATATGGGGGTGGAGAGGGGCTGAGGGAGTGGCGGGGCCTGACCCTGAGGTGTGGGGGAAGGCGGGAGTCGGCCCTGAGCGGGGAGGGGAAGGGGGGGCCGTTGGCCGGGTTTGAGGTGTTGGATGGGCTCAAACCTCAATGGGACTCGGAAGGAGGAGGAGAAAATGTTTGAGGAGAAAATGTTTCTCAGCCTTCTTAGCCTTAAAAATCATTCTCGCGTGGAGCTTTCCCACTGCACKTGTGGCTTCTGCTGGGCTCCGCTACCAGCGTGAATAAATCCTCGTGGTTTGTRAAGAAGATGTTTTACATTTGCACTGTTATAATACAGGGAGATATTAATAAAAAAATGAGCCTGGAACAGCTTTGCCAAGGGTGCACTTTGCTTCTGACAAGGATTTTGGTCCTGATATTACTGTCTTCTGTCAGAAAGTAGATGACCCATGATATTGGTTTCCTCTCTAGATCTCCCTCTTGAACTGTTTAACTTTCCTGGAAATCTTGGATTCAGGCACTGCCTTKTTTTCCATGAAGAATTTCTGTTTCACTTAATGTGCTGCAGTTCTTGGTCTGGAAGTGGAAAACCCAAATAGTTTTCAACACACCTGAGTATAGCATTTCATTTATTTGATCTGAAGTGACATGATTATTCAATTTAAGATTGTCTCTTGGTTTTGAGACTGAGCAATGTGTTATAACAAAGTTTCATGGGAGTAAATGTGGATTCTGGGCTGATTTGAGACTTTTAGGAAATCACCCTCCATGGAAGTGTGCACAGTTAATTTCAGAGGCAGGTGGTCAGAAAGCTTGATCCTGCTTAATCCTACCTGTGTGATAAGGATCTGTGTGGGGATGAATATTAGCAGTGGGACAAACACTTCGAAGTCAAGCACTTCTGGGTGTGATTGTAGAGGCTGATAGAATTCAATGGGGAAAAAGCAAAAYGGGAAATCTTTAAATAAAGACCACAGTGGAAATGCAGAGCTCTTTTAGAGTCTTGCATAGGGGCAGAGAAAGGGAAGGAGTAGGGAGGAAAAATACAAACTGTCTGAAGTTTGTATTGGAACATTTTTAAACCTGTTTTTAAATTTAGGGACTGGGAATTATGAGGGTCTTCACCTTATATTTTTCTGGAGATAAGTCTGAATCTCAGGGTTTGGGGAGAGGAGTCAGATGCTTTTCATTCTATTTTCTTATAATTTGGGTTGAATTTGGAAGAACAGGGTACAGGTGAGGGACTAGTGGAATATTCCCTGTCCATGGCAGAGGGGTTGGGATAAGATGAGCTTTAAGGTCCCTTCCAACCTAAACCATTTTGGRATTTTGACTCCAGACCTGATTCAGAAWCCAGYGAAAACRTCAGACTCCCACAAATTCAAATATGCTTTGACTCAGGCAAATCTAGGTGCTAATTTCCCCCCAGATTTTAAGCTGCCATGTGATACTAATACTGGAGGAATGCACTGTAGCATTTGTTGGCTTCAGCTGGAATTCAGAGCACTGCCTTTTAGCCTTTTAACCTGCACAATTCTGACTGTTTTGGAGCTGCAGGAGTGAGCCACCATCTGTCTCTGTCCTCTTTTACTCTGCCATCCATGAGATCACCAGAGATACTCGGTGGGAATGGGATTTCTGTGGGGAATCTGCCTCTCCCAGGGCCTGAGCATCTGGAATCAGCCCCTGACCTTGGGCTCTTCGTGCCCCACTGTCAAAATTTYATCCAATTTGCAAAGCCTGTCAGGAAAGCTGTGAGCTGAGCTGGGYGTATTAATGCCTTTTGTGTGTTTTGTGTCTTTTTCACGTGATTTTTTTATGTTGGGACATGAGGCACCTTTGTGATGGCTGCATTTAGCCATAACGGAATAAAGTTGGAAGCAAGCAAATCTCGAAACAAAAAACTTGCATTTTWGTCCAGTCAGGAGCATGAGTGGGATCTCTGGATCTGTTTTAAATAATAACCAGTATAAACTGAATGGAAATTATCAAATTTATAATGTGTATAGAGACATGCATAGTGCAAACACTCCCATTTCTGGATTCTTAATCAAAAATTCTAACAGAGGTGCAGGCCCAGCAATGCCACCTGAGTAAAAAGCTGTACAGAAAATATGAATTGCTTTTTTTTATATTTCTGTCACTTTGCTTGAATCTGGTAGAAAGAATCCATTGACTCCCAGGAATCCACAGCCACWGAGAGAGATGAGTTTAGCTGCTTTTAAAGATGGACTAAAGAAAGATTTTCAAATTAGCTCATAGATGTCAGGGTTATGATCCTACTCATGATTATAAAAAAAAGGCAAGAAAATGTTTCACTGATAAAAGTGGTGATATTTCATTGCCTTTTTTAATTACCAATAGTTTAAAAGGTACAAAAATAGAACTTATTTTTCCCTTCATTTCTTTCTATTTACTTCAATTTATAGCTTCATTTGTCAAAGTTCTGGTCTGGTGAGAACTTAATTTCACATGAGTGTGTTACATTTGTRAATAAACGAACAGAATTCCTCACTCCTTCACCAGCTTGGCTTTACATTTTTTTTTTAAACTTTACTAAAAGAAAGGCAAAATGTGATGTAACTCCTTAATAATTAAGGCTTTGTGAATTTAAAACAAAACTCYCTGTGATATTTTAAATTTAATATTTGGGGCTTAGTAGGTTTTACTATTTAAATACAGTTCAAAGCAGGTTTTTGAGGAATGTGTGTAAATAGACTCTTTGARGGCCGTTAATCCAGACAGTTGCAGTCCTGTGTTAACATTATGAGCAGAGATAGAAAATGAAATTATTAATCTCTCTCTTTTTTTCCACTTGGTAGAGGGAAATATAGAACACAAGCTTAAGGGATAAATGACTTAGAAAAAGACTGGGTCTGTGCATGGCCAAACATGGTATTTTTCAACTTAATTGACCAAAATTTGAATTTAAAAGCTCAAATTCGACCACCTGAAAGTGGCTGTGCTGCCAGGTGCCCAGACTTGGGAGATTCCAGATGCAAAATCCCTTCCACAAGCAGAGCAACCCTCCCGCAGAGGTGGCCACGCTCGACTCAGACATTTGTTTCTAATCCCACGTTTTAAAGCCGACCTTTCTGTTCCCCTCTTATTCTAAGCTCCCGTGCCTTGTTAAATGTTTGTCACTGCAGACAGGAGGTGGCTGCATCTCAATGATGCTCAAGTGCCCCCTAYATCACCTGCTCACCGGCTCATTAAGCCTGCAAAGCCTTTGGGATTCGGATACACAAACCCTTCCATTCAGGTGGGGTTGCCCAGTCCCTTCTGTTTCCTGTTAGTGTTTAGCAAGGCAAAAAGCAGGTGAGAACTTGCCCCAGAGCTGCTGCACATGTGCAGGGGTTGTTTGGGCAGGTTTCTTACCGAAATAAAACTTGTGTTCCTGCAGGGTTTCTCTCCCTCCCTGTCCACCCCAAGTTGTTTTCAAATTTTTTACCCAAGTTTTGCTGGTAGGACAGAGTTTGGAAGAAACTGATTTCCTGGGTTTTTGGGGAGAATCTGTGATTGCTAGAAAAAAAAGAGATTCCACTTGTGTCCTAAGTCAGAAACAGGAGCTTTGCCTTTACTGACCCCTTGGGATCAGAAAAACTGCGTGAAGAAAATCTGCCCCTTAATAGCCTGACATGGGGAAATCYCAATGAATACACACAGTTTCATGGGAATTTGGGTTTTGTTCTGGTGTGTATGGAGCTGTGTTTTAAAACGGGGGGGAAAGTCAATTTGTGGGAGCGGAGGGGCTTTCACTCTGTTCACAGAATCATTGAGGTTGGAAAAGACCTTCAAGGTCGAGTCCAACCTGTAACTGACCCCACCTTGTCACTTGTCCAGGCTTTCCATGGACATCTGCAGGATGGGGACTCCACCACCTCTGTGGTCAGCCCCTTCCAGTGCCTGACCACCTTTTCCATGAAGAAATTCCTCCTGATGTTCAACCTGAGCCTTCCCTGGCACAGCCTGAGGCTGTTCCCTTTCCTCCTGTCCCTGTTCCCTGGGAGCAGGGCCTGACTCTCCCCGGCTGCCCCCTCCTGTCAGGGAGTTGTGCAGAGCCACAAGATCCCCCCTGATCCCCCTTTTCTCCAGGCTGAGCCCCTTTCCCAGCTCCCTCAGCCTCTCCTGGTGCTCCAGCCCCTTCCCCAGCTCCGTTTCCTTCTCTATACACATTCCAGCCCCTCAATATCTTTTTTGCAGTGAGGGTCCCAGAACTGGACACAGGATTTGAGGTGCAGCTTCACCAGTGCCCAGCACAGAGGGAAAGATCCTGAATAACTCCTCCTCATTTTTCTTCCAGTACTGCCTGTCAGGACATCCAACCTTGCCATGCAACGTGCTCAAGTTCAAGTCCACCACCATCATGCTGGACTGTGGGYTGGATATGACATCGACCCTCAATTTCCTCCCGTTGCCTCTGGTCCAGAGGTGAGTTCTGTGGCCTGTCAGCACTTAGGCTGTGTCTTCTTGAGTTGCARTTGGAGTGCTCTGCCTGAAATGGTGTATTGGAAGGAGGGAGGGGATGGGTACAAATGAACAACATCATCTGATATCATAAATAGACTTTGTTCACTTAAAAATTCTCTTTATCAAAATAACGTCCTTTGGCTCGGTAGACGGAAGACATTTTATGGATTTATTGATTGGTTTTTCTAGATAATTTATTCTAAGCTTCAGTAAAGTATTGCTGCAACTGCTCAGCACAAGTGAGGTCACATATCTGTCATCTTTCTGGCTTCTTCATGCAAGATGAGATAAATGGGTGACTGAGATGGAGCCCAGCAAGTCCTGTTTAACCACCATCTTCTCAGGCTGTTCTTCGGAGCACAGAGTAATGCAAAGAAAAATAGCACTCATCAGCCCTTGTTAGTTGCCTGTGTGGCATAATTGTTCCCTTTTAAAAGTTAAATAAATAAAAGGGCAGTGGAGCTGGGCACAGGGTTGGAACAGCAGAGAAACCAAAATAGAGTCTAGAAGAGAATCCTGAGATCAAGACTCTCCTTTTGATTCCCTACTACAAAGTCATGTTTCCCCAGGTTTTTAGACTAATTTGGATAATCAGTTAGGGTGACATGTCTTGTGTAAATGGAATAAATGACAAAAATTAGCAGTTGGAAAGGTGAGAATGAGTCACTTGTAGTGATGGGAAGCAGTAGGAGTTTTGTCAAAAAACATTTAGTAACTTTGATCCACAAAAAGAGAAGTGAGGAACATTTTGGGTTCAGGAAAAGCTTGATAGAGAGTGGGGAAAGGAAGTTTCCTAAGTGACCTGGTGAGGTTAAAGCAGTTTGTCCAGCACTTCCTATGWTTTGTTATTTTTTGGAGAGGAGAGGAAAGGAATAGACAATGTGTGCACTGTTCTGCAAGAACGTGGACTTCAGGTTCTGCTGCAGAGAGGCAACAGATTCCCTCGGAGCAGTGTGGAAGTCAATTTTTGTCCCATTCTATAATGCGATTGCTGACTGCAACAACTGGTGCAGTGATGGATTTTGAACAGATCCAGCAAATTTTGGAAATTCAGGTACAGGCAGAATTGCCTCACNNAAAAAAAGGAAATTGAGAGAGGAACAAGTAGCAAAATGAGGAGATTGAACAAGGGCTTAAGAGGTTCTTTAGAACGGCAGGAATCAGCCTTCCCCTGGGATATGGCAGCTTTGTCTGCTGATAGCAGACCCTGGGAATGAGCAGCCAAATTGCAGGTCACAACCTGGAATTCCCCAAGTACCTCCAGAATGTCGGCACTAAAATGACTCAAACTCAATAAGAAAGGATGTCAGATTTGACCCCTGATGGCCCAGTGGAATTGGAGCAAACACTTGGATTTAAATCCAATCAATCTTGTCGTTGAGGTGACTGAACACCCCTTAGAGCAAGGAATGTCCTGAGCACATGGACTTGGGCAAGTAATTGATCTCCTCTACAAACCAGGTGTCCTGCAGAGAGTTGTGGAAATAAGTCAGAAATGTGAGGAGGAATGTGGCTGCCACTGCAAAGTCCTTATCTCTGTAGTACTCATAGAGTACCATTAGAGATTAGGAGTCCATTACCATGTGGTCCAAATACCTCTGAAATTCAAATGTGTGTTACCAGCATAACACAGGGTGACAGAGAACTGACATTGTCATCAGTTGCCAGGTAAGGTGACAGAAGGACTGACTGCCTGAGGAGTTTGAGCACAGATCTGTCACATCTGGGGTTCTCACCAGCTGTGTCCCTTCAGAACCAGATGTGGCAACTGGAGATGGGCCTGAGTGAGATTTTACCTGAGAGGAGCCACGCTTCTCTCTGCTGTCTTTAGTCCAGAGATGTGGTCTGCAAAGTTGCCCTCAGCTATGACGTGACAGAGGATCTTTGCTATGCAGCTCAATCCCGTGTTGTACCTGGCTTGGGACCCTCCTTGAGCAAACATTCTGAGAGCATGTGCTTTAATCTCTAAGAGATGAAAGTGCTGCAGTGCTTGTGGCATTAAAGGGACTGGACATTTTTTAGGGTTCTTTGCTCTTCAAAAAAAAAAAAAAAAAAAAAACCAGTGCAAAAGTATTTTGATTCCCCTTTGCCCTAAAAATGGCAGTCCCTGTTTTTACCAGCCCATGGAGCATTTGCAGAGCACCTGCAGCTGCCAAACTCTTTATGCTCCTGTACTTGAAAGGAGGTTTGTCAACTGGAGTTTTCTCCCCTGTACCAAAGTCAAATGCAAAATGGTAAAATGAACATGTGGGAAGCTCTTAACCTTTCCTGTCGAGCCATGACACACTTGCTGACATTATTTATGGGACAGTTCCAGCTATTTTGGATTAATCAATCACTCTATTACAATGTCAAAACTATGTCAGGAGGAACTGTGTTGCTTCTTGGCTTCAAGGTAAAGAGTCCTTTCTGTCCTGGGTTGCTTGTTCTGCTTTCAGCCACACACAAGACACGCCTGCTCATTTTCCCTCCCCTGACAAGACTGCTCATTCCTCAGTGGATGCCAGTTTAGTACAAGTTTAGTGCCTTTTCATTATGAATAAAGCAAAATTCTTGCTAGGTTAAATTACGGGGAGTAGAGCAAGTGTATCAGGGAAAGTTTATTCTGCTCTGCCTCGTGCTGCTGAATTTGCAGGGATTTGCAAGGCACAAGCCAGCCTAACCTGATCTTGTTTGGCTTTGAGACAGTGGATTGCAGCCCTCCAGGTGTCTCTTCCAGCCAAGGTTTCTGTCCCCCCATCCTGTATCTGTCAGAGCTGTTGCATATCAGAGTGGTTTGTTCTTGCTTTTTCCATAACTCTTTCAGTGTCACTGCACCGGTCCTACTCAGCCCCCTCAGTCTCCAAATTACCGCTCTTAAATTGTGCTTTTGAACATGTCACTAGGGAGCACATTTAGCCACTTCATCTTTTCGATCATCAGACTTGCTCTTCATCCTCACAAGGGATTGCACTTCTCTGGCACAGCTTCTCTATGACAGACCCTTTGCTCTCACCTCTTACCTTCTGTCTTCACCCCTTGAGTCTTGCATTTCCCCTTTTTCCTTCCATGTGACTTACTGGGATCTCAGAATTTCTTTTATACTGCTGTTAGTCTGAACACAGCATTCCTCTGAGCCCTTGAATCACTTCCTATTTWCAAGATGTTGAATTTCAAAGCCCTTTTGTGTTATAAACATGCCTGTCTGTAGAGCTTAGTGCGCAGCACTTGCACAGGGCATTGCAACCGGGTCCAAATCTGAGCTTGTTGCAGGGTTTGGTTTCAGGTGGGTTCAATTCTTTTGTTTACGCAGCTTTTTTTTTGATTTCTGTAGCTGTGCTTGAGTCTGGGCAGGCAGTGGGTTTAGAGCTAAGTTGTAGGTTCACACAAAAATTAAATGTCACCGTGAAGTATGARTCAGTCTCTCATTTATGGTTGCAAGAAATGCTGCAGCCATTACTGCTGTAAACCCAGGATTGCATTGTCCATCTTGAAATTTCTTTTTTAGCATTTGAAAACACCTTTAAAGGGTGGGTTTTAATTTTTTTTCAATTTTTTTTCTGCTGCTGACTGCTGAGACCATGCAGTTCCCAGCAAAGCCTCCTTGCCCCCTGTGTCCTGTACAGCTGTTGGTGTGGGTCTTCAGGGTGACACCCAAGCAYGAAACCGTGGTTTATGTGGAAATAAAATCCCAACCTGTGTCTATAAATGACTTAGTCCAGAACATCAGTCTTTCCCTGCCACTGCTAATGGGAGTATTTGTCTGTTGTCCTCTGTCCCAGAACAGTTTTATGGTGCTTTTGTGTTGTTTTGAGCACAGAGTTTGTTGSTGCCCTAACTTCTGTTTATTCATCCAGTTTCACCACAGGGAGCTAAGCAGCAYTGAGCCTTTTTGAAATCCTCACCATAAATGACTAAAAACTCCCTGCATGCCTTGTCCTCTTATTTCTTTTTACTTATAAGTGTCATAATCATGATTTGTAAAAGTCATTTTGGTGAACACTTAACCACAGTGAAAGTGTCTGTCTGTTTTATGGAGACTGTTACTTYCCTGAGACAGAAATGGTGTTCTCTGCCTGTATGACACCAAGTAGAAGGTCTGTGCTTTAGCCACTGATAAMGATTYAGTTCATATTGCAATAATTTTTCCTCTTTCTTCCCGCAGCCCCAGGCTGTCCAAACTTCCCGGCTGGGTTTTGAAAGATGGAAGCACGTTTCTGGACAAGGTACTGTAGTGATGGTTGGAATTTTCTTGCCATGCAAAAAGCTACCTGCTGGGTGGGGAGCTCATGCTGCAGGAGCAGTGTTCCACGCTGACTCATCCCAAAGGTTTCTCTGTGTACCTTTACCAGCCAGGATGTCCTTGCAGAGCAGAACATTTTGAAACAAAATGCTAATAGCAACTCTAAGGCTCTCAGGCTTCAGAGGTAGCCTAGATTATAAAAAAAAATCCTCTTAAAATGCAGAAGTCGTCGGTGTGAATATTTTTGTATTTCAGGGAGCTCCATAAAAATAGTGCTTTGCTTTCTTAGAGTGCCTTTTATTCCACAGTCTCACTTTTGTGACACTGAGGCTTCAGAGCATGCCTATAAATGAGGTTGGTATCATACCCTTTTTCAGGCAGAACTATGAGAAAGGGAATGGTTTTTCAGGCAGAACTATGAGAAAGGGAATGGTTTGCCTATGGGAGGTCTCTCAGAGAGGAAAAGCATGGCTTTGGCCTCTTAAATCAACATGTGTTCTGCTGCTGGACATAGCAGGGAGGATATTATCTCCAGCCTCCTGATTCTAAGACACAGAACTTCCTCAGCGACATGAGAGACACAGAATTGCTCTTTTTTCCCCTCTCTTTTCATTACATCAGTTTAGGAGGCAGAATTTGTCTGAGGCTTCAACCAAAACTTGGCGCTGCAGCAGCCAGCTTGATCTGCMATAGGGGAACAATGAACACAAAAATATGTCAGATGTTAGTAAAATAGGCAGATCCATCTCAGATGTGGGCAGCAATAGGTACCAGTGGAGAAAATGCTTAATAGACTGTGCTCTGACTATGTGAACATTAAAGGAAACAGTGATAATAGTTGCTTTTGTAGGGGACTTTGAGATGGACAAAATGAATTGATCTGATTTTTACAGACAAGGGAGCCGAAGATCATAGATTAAAGACCCGATTTTTCTTCTCGTTGGAGACAAAAGAAACTGTACRGGCAGCATTTCTGTTGGTAAAATAGTAACAGCTCTATTCAGAGCACTTGCTAACTGGCAGATGCAGGGCTGCAGAGRCTCAGGCGCAGCAATGGAGTTGCTCAGTTTGAATTCCCTAGAATTTGTGTCTCCTGAACCTCTTTGGGCTCCAAAGAAAGGATAGACTGTCACTGTAGTTTTGCTTGGAATGTATTTAAATTTCTGGGATGCTGCTGCAGTGTGTGCTCGGGAGAAACCTCCAAACTCAAACTCAGTGGCAATAGAAATCATGTTAAAAATTCAAAGGCAGCATCTCTTAACTTCACCTTGACCACTGTAAGTGCTTGGAATGGTAAATTCTTTGACCCATGCTGGAAAAAGGCAAGGGAAGGAGTCAAAGGGTGGTTTTTTATCATGTGGGGTGGACATTCCTGTTACAGCACTCAGTTATAAAACTTCAGTCCTGSAGAGGCATTGAAATGTGCTGCGATCTACTTTTAATCATTTTGAACTCCCTTGAGATGAGGTTAGGAGACTTCTGCCACTAGATGTAATTGCTCATTCRTTATTAGTTGGCAGGTGCACTGTAATTATTAAGAATGGGATTCAATCTTTAATTCTGTCAGTCTGAAGCTGGCTGAGACCACTCGCTTTGGGACAGAGAAGCGTCCACAAGAGAAGGCAGGGTGGGTGGTAGAGAGCCTGGGAGTTGTGCTAGGAGTAGAGTTGGGAATATTTTGTTCCACATACCCTGCAGAATGTCACCTTCCATGTGACAAAGGTTATTGATGTCAACCTTGCAAAAGAGGAAGAAAACAGGGGATAGAGTTTAACAAAAAGTGCCATGTGGAGGTTAGATCCCCAAACGTTGTTTCATCAAATGCTCTGAGAGAGGGGCTAAAATTTATGTTTTGGTTCCAATAAGGCAGAAAAGGTTGGATGTTATTTGGAACCAAAACTAAATTTCAAACTTGCTTTCCTAGTGGTTACCAGGGCTCTTTGCTTACCTACCAGAGTGCTGTCTCTGTTCTTCCCAAGGAGGATCTGATCCTTTCAAGTACCAAGCAGCCTCATCTGGCATGAAAACAATTTCAGCAGATCTCTTACACCAAATTGTATCTAAAAGGGGGATAAATGTCTTGTAACTGGTTGGAAATTACCTGTGATGAAGAAAATGTTTGGAAAGTCCAAAATGTGTTGCCTTTGAGTAACACTTTTGTATTTTTGTGTCTCCTCTGTTGGTGTGGTTTTTTACAGGAGCTGAAGGACTGCTCTGGCCACGTGTTTGTAGATTCTGTGCCTGAGTTCTGCTTACCAGAGGTGAGTTTGTTCAAAACTTTACTGAAAAATCTGTCTCCATTCAGTCACATGGAAGAAACTCGTTAATTTGTTATCATTATGAGATTCCTCCTAATTTATGAATACTCAGTAAATAGTCCTGCTGAAACCTCTGTGTTGTTAAGGTGCCTCCAGGATCTATGACACTGCGAAGAGGATGGAAACAACCCTTTTCAACATTGATTTTGGGAGATGTGGAAAGTCTCCTGGAGCAGATGGWTACCTCACACAAAAAATAGGACTGAACTGTCCCCTTTTATGGGCTTTTCAAAGACATCCTGACTGAGCTGRGCTGAGTCTGTCAGGATCCATGTGCTGATCTAGATAAGGGCAGGGCATGAAGGCAGGGAAAGCTGCTTGTCTCTAACCACAGATACAGGACATGCCCAGTGRAGCTCCCTGGGGAGCCAGCTGTGGTTAAGGCAGGTTGGATTCTGCTGGGCTGCACTTCTGCCTGCAGCACTTTCAGGTTAAAAACTTTTACTGCCTCTTTGAGGGAAGAGCTGTGCCTTCAGATCCACTGGCATGGCTGCAAGTGGCTGCTCAAGCTGGTTTTTACTGGAATTTCTGGATTTGTGGGATTAAAAAAAAACAAAAACCAAGACTATTGAAGGTGTTTGGATTACCTGATTGATCAGGGGAATGTTGTAGGAGAGCTGAAGATGGAAAAAGCTGAGCAGAGAGTGGTGGGAATGAATGATGAGGAGCAGTATGGAAATAGCACCCTCGTTCCTCAGTGTGCTCAGTGTGATAACCTCAGTTTTTTCATTTCAGGGTGGGATGTTTTCATGTGTTTTTCTGTCTTTCTAAGACAGAATTGCTTTTGGGCAGCAATTTTTTATTTCTCCTTTCTGCCTGATCTTGTAGACAAGAAGCACAAAACACCCCTGAAGGGTTTTCTGTTTGCCAGGGTTCTGGCAATGGTGTTTTTGTGTGTGGATCCCATGGAACTTCCCTCTGGCATCACTCTTGTCATTTTGATTCTTCCAAACAAGTTGGCAGCTCTGGTACTGGTTTTGGCAAATGATTCCAACACAKTATGATTATTCCAACCCTAGTGGAATGGTCATAATCCAATCACATCAAAGAAGGCCAACCCAAAACCCTAATAATTCTGGGTTCTTGTGAGCCTTTTGGTTACTGTCCTGTGAAATGGAGGGATGTGGGAAGTAACTGTGTGTGTAGAAAGTGCCAATATGGCCCAGATCTTGGGAAGGACAGGRTTTATGTGCTGGATTTCCTTTGGAATGATAATCTGCTGGGGTTTAGGGTGCTTCAGCCAGGCTTTCTGGTTCCTTTGGGCTGGAAAACACCCAAAAGTGTAGCTCTAAATAGGACAGACAGGGAGTCACAGCTTCATTTTACCCCATTATCACTGCATGAAGCTGCTTCCCAGCAGTTTCTACAACCAGAAGATGGCAACCAGCTGCACATGTCACCACTGTAGGGAGTTTAAAAATGTCCTCTCAGATGTTTCCCAAAATTCCCAACAGATGCCACATCTCCATTAGCACTACAAAGAGATCTGCTGTGACACCCAGCTCACACCTTGAGCTCAGCTGTCTGCAGGAGGTTCAGGAATTATGGCCAGCTGAAAACAAAGTRGAAATGTTGCTGCTCTTTGGCAGCACAGGCCAAGAGGGAGCTTGTGTGAAAGAGGCTTTTACTTTGTCTCCTTCCATGCCACTTCTTTTGAAGAAACCTGTCTGCAGAAGCAGTTAGTGGGAGAATCTCGGTATGGCTTCCAGGAACACCAGTGCCAAAGCAAGCCAAGATTTGGATCTGAGCCAGCAGCCACAAGGTGATAAGAGGCTGTCTCTGGCAGCAGAGTACACTCACACATGTCAGAGTGCAGGGTGCAGCCTTCTCTTTGCTTGGCAACCTTCTGCTCTCTCACTTCACATTCAYGAAACATTTTGAAGCCTCTTCAGCTCAAAGGCACTTTAGTGAGATCGCCGCAACCAACCCCAGGGAAGGTTTTACTTTGTTTTGGTTTTGAYACTGTTTTCATCCTATTAGTAAATGCATCCAGGGTGCTGAAATGTGGCATCCTTAAGGCTGGAAAGTGGTGTTGTGTATCCTCCTGATGGCTCTGCTGGGCTGGGGTTTAGCTCAGGGCTGGAGCCCCTCTGCTCTGGAGCCAGGCTGGGAGAGCTGGGGRTGTTCACCTGGAGAGGAGAAGAATCCAGGGAGAGCTCAGAGCCACTTCCAGGGCCCAAAAGGGCTCAGAAAGAACAGGAGAGGGACTTTGGGCAAGGAATGGAGGGACAGGACACAGGGAACAGCTTCCCTCTGCCAGAGGGCAGGGTTAGATGGACTATTGGAAGGAATTCCTGGCTGTGAGGGTGGTAAAGCCCTGGCACAGGCTGCACAGAGCAGCTGTTATTGCCCCATCCCTGGAAGTGTCCAAGGGCAGACTGGATGAGGTTTGGAGCACCCTGGGATACTGGGAGGTGTCCTGGGTGGAGCAAGTTGGTCTTTAAGGCACTTCCCCCCCAAACCATTCCAGAATTTGGTTCTGTACGGTCCAGACACAGCTGAAAACCAAACCATGGACAAACCAAGCCTTGGCAGGAGCAGGCATCAGCGGATCCTTTGATCCYTTGCAGGGAGTGTGCTCCTGCCTGGAAGCCCAGGAAGATAAAAGATGCCCTATCATGGATCTGAGCAGTGATGTCCCACCTCCTGTTCTCAGCTTGGAGATCAGGCTCTGCCATCAGCTGTGATCATGGATTGAAACCATGAACGCTTAGTGAGGAGTTAAGCAGCTTGTCACCAGAGCACCGTGTCAGCCCTCTGAAAAGCAGACTGACCTACTTTCCTGCCTTTTTTATTCAAATTGCTGGACCAAGCCTTGTAATCAGATAATATGTGCTTGATGAGTGTTGAATTCCATTAGCTGCTCTATAATAACCGAGTTAGAGGTCAGTAATCTTGTAAATTTCTGACTTGACACCGTTTGTGTTATAGCATTACCAGTAAATATTTCTAATTAAAATTCCTTTAACAATGTGTGAAATCTTTCACTCTCAGAACTCTTTAGTCTAAACTGTTGCATGCAAACACATTGGACCCACCCATGTATTTTGTCGTGTCCTGTGAATGGGCTTMATCTCCTGCTGTAGCAAATGTGAATGATAAAGTTGCCAAGCATTTGCTTTGAGAAAATATGAGAATTATTAAATTACAGTAATTTAAGGTATAATTAATGAATTTAATAATATGTRTTATTATTTACATATAATATTGTAATTATTTTACATTTTATTATTATGATGTGTAAAATATATATTTTATATTATTATGTTACTATTCTGTGTAAAGTATATATTTTRCATTATTATRTGTAAAATACAACCTTCATTCATCTCTCTCCTGGGGTACAGTATGATGTGCTCCATAAAAAAGTATGAGACAGTCTAAATCACTGCTGCAGAAGTTTTGGTGTCTCTTCTTCCCTAAGGAGGTGCAGGCATCAATTCTTTGATAAAAGTAAAATAATGACAGATCTCATAACAGCAGCCATTTCGTCACCTGAAAGACAGACAAACCCAGGACAGGGTTTTCCTTTTCAAGTTAGAGAAGGGAATAATGTTAGGGGGTTTTTAAAATAAATCTTGTTAATTTAAAGGCAACRTTCAGCTGAGACATGCTTTGATAAACCAGTTGCATTCTTGCAATATAAAGTTAAAAAAAAAAAAGAGAAGTTTTTCTGCCTTTGCTTAAAATGTATGAAAGGGTTACAAGTTGCTTTTCTCTCCTCTGTTTTCAGACTGAACTGCTTGACCTCTCCACAGTGGATGTAATCCTGATCTCCAACTATCACTGCATGATGGCACTGCCCTACATCACAGAGTACACAGGATTCACTGGAACAGTTTATGCCACCGAGCCCACCGTTCAAATTGGCAGGTAAAAAGCCCSTTCATATTCTCAGCTTCTCTTTCATCGCTGCTGAGGAGAAGGTGTAAAGGACAATGTGGGGAGGGGAGTGGTGTCTGATGTTCCAAAGAGGCTTTTAGGCGGGAGCTGAACGGGAGCCAAGTCCTTAGTGCTGCAAATGTGTTAACTCCATGTTTCCCAACCTCTGGAGCCATCAACATTTCCAGCAGGTGCTCTGTGTTGAGTCCAGGCTGTAGATCTGGGACAGTAGATCTTGGGTGGGCTGTGACACCTCGAGCAGCACTTGCCAAATAGGCAACTTCAGACTTTCAAACACCATGGATCAAAGAGTACTCCTGCTCCTCTCTGCTCCCCTCAAACAAAAAGAGTCTTTCCAATAAGAAAATTGGACTTGTTCCCAAAGAAGCTGTGGCTGCCCCATCCCTGGCAGTGTTCAAAGCCAACTTGGACAGGACTTAGAGCAACCAGGACTATGGGAAGGTGTCCCTGCCCATGGCAGGGGTTGGAACTAAATGATCTTTAMGGTCCCTTCCCACCCAAACCACTCTAGAATTCTGTAATTCCATATAACCACTCTTTCCTCCACTCCATGGAAAGRAAGTTAAGCTGACTTCATCTTAAATGACAGTTGAGATACATGAGCTCTGAACTCCAGAGAAGTGCTAAGAAAAATAGCAGAAATAGGAGATTGAAGGAGAAGCTATAAGATCTGACAGTGCAGTCAAAACCAGAATAGTCGTCAAACTTGGCAGTTTATTTTTACAGAATTGTCTTGTTGAATGGATGGGTCAACACCAAACACTGCAGGTTTGTCCCTTGAAGCCTAGCTGGACTTGTGCTCTGTTCCCAGAGCAGCTGCCACATTCAGTATTTAGGAACCAGATTAGGCCCTGCTATCTGGACTACTCCACTGAAGGTCCCATGCAAATGTTCCATGCAAGAGTAATTCCCCCATTGTGTGAAAACAAACAGAAACCGAAGGCCCTTGTAGGTGAAAGGAATTGTGAAAATATGAGTGAGTTGTAGACCTCTGGGCTTTGCTGGTCCAGAGCTGGAGGTAACAAAAAGAGTCTTGTGGGAGAGTGCTCTGGGGTGGTTCTCCCCATCCCAAATCATTCCAGATGCTGTCCTTCTGCTCCTGCCTTCAAGGGAAAGCCTGCACACAGTCACAAAAGCTGTTTAATTTTAGGCAGTGAAATCTGCAGTGACAATTTCTAAAGGTTGACACATTTTTGTCTCAAATATGTCCTGGTAGAGATGAGGAGAATTCAACATGCTTGCCTTCCCATAGTGATAAACAGGCATCAGCTGAGGAATTTCCATTGTATATTTTGTCTCCTTCCATATCAAAAGCAGTCAGTAATGAAGAAATTATCTTGCACTTTCCATGTAGCCCATAACCCAGTGGGCCAAATCCCCTCCTCTGTTGTAACCATGCAGATGGAATTAGAAACACTCCGTGGAGAAACAGGGGTAGTGCTGGTAATGGCCTCTGCGGGAAGAATCTCCTTCAAACTGCCTGAGAGTGTTACAGTTTGTSTGGTATTTTGGAAAGATTTGGGCTGAAGTTCTCTCCTGTGTGAGAAGAGGCAGTACTCATTTAGGTTTGATTTATGTTTTCAGGCTTCTCATGGAAGAACTGGTGAATTCCATTGAACGCGTGCCAAAGGCCCAGTCTGCCTCCATGTGGAAGAACAAGGAGGTACAAAGGTAAGGAATGAGTCCTCAGGAAACGTGGCTATCCTAAACCACCAAATTTGGGATTCACTGTAAGGATGGCTCAGCTCCCACCGTTTGGGATTTGCTGCTGTGCTGTGATTCCTTAGGTTGATTCTTTCTTTAATTATTGCCACATTGCTGGTTTTCCAACCTCACAAGTTTTCTTTTTTGGAGAATCACTTGGGAACAGCAAAGCCTCCCCTGATATCCCCTCACACAGTTTGGCTTCATGATGGTAGGTAAWACCAGCAGAATTTGGTATTACCAGCATAAAAAGTTGTTGAAATGAGAAGGCAGTTTAAATTTAATGATACTGCATTGGAATAATTTAAATGGTATTTACATTCATGTTTGCTGACATACTGAGARAGTCAAGACACAGCTGCTGGAGGTCAGTGGTGTTACCTTTCTTCCCATCTTCTTTTACACCTGAACAGCAGAGGTGAGGTTTTTGGCTTTMCAAGGCTTAAAAACAAATTAAAATCTGAATAAAAAAGATTATTTGGAAGCATTGTGTCCCTTATTCCAGCTATACATCAAAACAAGATGCTCAAAATTGAGGGCTTTTGAATTCCTGTGGAATCTAAAAAATTATCCATACAGTTTACTRATTACAGCTGATGCTTTCCTTGGGAATAAAAACAATTTTAGGTGCACAACATGTTCCTTGGAGGAGACAGTTTTGTTTTTAGCACATTTTAAAGATAGGGTTGGTTGATTAAAAAGTTATTTTTAAAAGCTGCTTTGTGCATTTTTAATTGATCTCCCATTTTATATCCTAATTCTTAAGATGGCTTGATTTAGAAGTTTCCTAAAAGTGAGTTATTTCTTACATTAGAAGAGCAGGTTTGATATTTTCCAATATCACAAAGCAGACAAATGAAAAATCCARATTACCATGGTTTTAGCTGTATATTTTGTTTCCCTGGTGAATTTAGGATCAGTCTCTGCACTGCAACTTTCCCTCTTCTGAAGATGAGTAGAACCCGGATGTAAAGCAAAATTAAAGACATGAAAGTTTAGCAGGATTTTCAGAATCATGGGTTTGTTTTTTTTTAATTTTGGGGTCCTCTGGCCTGCCCAGAACCACTCCTGAAGCTCCCAGTGTGTGGAGAGAGAGGACTGGAGCCATTATTCCTGTCACTGCAGGCGTGTTTTGTATGCATGGTTTAAAGGAGGATCATATATCTTGCAGCTCATATAATGTCACTTTCCTGGTGGTCGTATTTTAGGAAAAGTGCTGTCTGGCACTTTGCATGCTGCTGACTGTTCCAGAGGAGAACACTGAGAGGGAATCTTTGTTCTCATTCAGCTGCTGTAGAAGGCTGGAGCCTTTTTTTCCTTGAAGTGGTGTTTAAAGTACATGTTCCTCTCTCCTGTTGCTGRATTTGTCCCCCAAAACTCATAGTTCCATCATGTGGCTGGTAAAGGGGTAACAGGGAGGTAGGAAGTACTGAATTAAAATTTAATATCATAAATTTGTGTATTGTAAACTCTGCTGGTATGAGCCAGTGTTGTCTTTGAGCTGGAACAAGAGGACAAATGTGAACTCCCTCTCCAGCTCTGCCCCACCTGTGCTCTGAGTTTCCCCCTTCACCTCCCTGTGCATCTGTAAAACAGCTCCCATGCAGCACAGAGGTTACACGGGGACTGTAATTAATGTTTGCAAAGTGTTTTGAGATTCCTGGTGACAAGTGTCACGCAGGCATGAATAGAACTGATGATTAGAGCATGTGAGCAAACATCCACTGATCCACAAATTAGCACCTGGCTAATGGCACATGCAGCCTTGGACTGACATCCGTTAGTTAACAAAATGTGATCTTGATGAATTGGGGTTTTTTTTTCCTACTTAGCTGTTGCTAGCACAGAATACTTATTACTTCTGAGTCTAACTTTAATTTTTCTGGCTGATCAATCCCCATTACTGCTTTACAGTTCATCTAGTTCCACTCCAAACAGTTAGTATAAAACACAGAGTATTATCATCTTCATTAGATAGAGCATTGGAGCATTTTAAATGCAAATACTGTATAAAATATAATAAGTTCGTTAGAGTGGTTTACATTTTTCCATTATCAGATCCAGTCTGAACTAATTGCTTAGCCAGTGTTATTGCCACTGGGTTTTATTTCAAATGAGCATTCTCGTGGAAGCTCTGTAGATGTCTTTCACACTGATTGTGATTAGGGGGATAAAGAGGAAGTTTGCCTTATCATAGGCATTTTGTTGACTTATTGTTTGATGGTTTCCTATATATTTTCAAGTGTTTGAAACAGGCTGTTTGCTGAGGTCGAGCAGGGCACGAGAGAGGCCGTGGGCTGATGTAGTTTGATGCTGCCATCCTCCTGTCCTTTCAAACAAGTCTGGGATTTTGTGTCATACACTAAATGTCACCTTTGCATTGACCAGGAGGGACTGTCTGTGCAGATCCCAGTGAAGGATTCAAATCCCTGAGATTTGCAGTGTGAATTTTGGATCCTCAGCCATGTGGATTCATGGTACTTCCCTGCTTGTGGCTGTCCCAGCAGTGCCCTCCTACATCTGATTGTTGTGAGGTGATCCATAACAGGATGTTACCATAGTATTGGTAGATTTACTCCAGACCACAAAACACCCAAAACTCTCTGCAGAGATTTTAGAAATTAGGATGGCAGACTGAACACTTCCAGGGGCACATCTGAGGGACCAGCACCTCATTGTCTCTGTGCCATTCAGCCACAGGAAACCACTGCAGACTGGTGCCACAGGTCTCTGCCAGGGATCAGAGTATTTCCAGTGTAGACACAGAGTCAAGGCTAAGARAAACTTCCTTCAATCACCAAAGACAATTCCATTCTCCATTACCTGGAGAAATAYTCTCCTCTTCCCAGAAGAGAAGCTCCTGAAAGCATCCAACACTAAATGCTTCTTAGGGTAGGTTAAAGGCTTTTACAGGCAATTTGCTTCAGTGCACTGGTGGACAACTCTCCCCATTGTTTGTCCTTTTGTTGCTTACGACTTCCCAAAAAAGACCTTGAAGGCATTGTTTRTTTCCTGAAGCATGGGTGCTTTCAGCCAGCATGTGCTGGAATTACAGTTATCACTCTGGACCTGTGCTGTGSTCTTGGCAAGAGCTGCCCTTAATCCTTTCTTCAGTATCTTAAATTATGGAGGAGTTCACTGACCTAGTAGATATAACAATAAATTAAATTCCTTTAAACAAATTGATCAAAGAAACTTGACCAATTTCCATAAATCTTTGGAAATTGGTTTGAATTAGCCTTTGATTTAGCATTGGTTTAATATACAAAAAAAAAAAAAATCCTATTCTTCTTGCACATTTGGCAGCTGTGCTGCTTCCTGCCTCAGTTCATGTTGCTAAGGAAGATTTATTTCCCAGAAGTTAGCCATCCCTCTTCCAGCCTGTGACATTATAGTTCACTTCTTCCCTTGACAACGCCGGCCAGCTGACTTGCAATGTCTGTGAGGAGCAGAATGGATGAATCTTACTTTGGTGTAAAACATCTTAAATACTTCCGTGGAGGGGATTTCAAAGAGCTCTGCAGTGTCAGCTCATGTATCCTGCCAGGGCACTCAGGAGGGAAGTGGGATTGAAGGCAGGGAAACTGAGCTGCTCTTGTAAGAGGCCAGCAGCAAAAATCAGGGCAGAGCCATCGCTGCTCATAGTCTGATACCTGCATTTTAATCACCACATTGTTTCAGATCATTAGGATATTATTCAAATTATTATTATAAGAAAAACAGACACTTATCTAAGGTCCCAGTCCTCTCTACCAATGCTGGAGATGCATTTCATGTTGACTTCTCAGATCAGCCAGCATCTTTCATCAGTGGTGAAAATATCCCAAGAGTTGTGATAACATCTTGGTCACAGCTGCTTCTTTGATGCAAGGGCTGGACAGAACAGCAGCTGGAGGAGAGCAGTCCTTGGGCTGAGGCAGAGTGGGAAACGTGGCTCTGCTCCTCAGCAGGCAGAAAATCTCACTCCTCACTTTGAAGCACCAGGGATGTTTAAAAGAAAAAAGGGTAAAAATCTAAGATCTGGAGAATATAGAGAGCTGTTAAACCTGTCCAGCAGCAGCTGTTCTGGATCCTCACAAAACATCCCATTGGTGTTCACAGGTTGCTGCCAGCCCCGCTGAAGGATGCAGTGGAGGTGTCCATGTGGAGGAAGTGCTACACCATGCCAGAGGTGAACGCAGCCCTCAGCAARATCCAGCTGGTGGGCTATTCCCAGAAAATCGTGAGTACCTGGACAGCTGTCCTCAGGGCAACACCAACAACTGTTTTCCAGCTCTTTTTCCCCTTTAGATCCTGTGTAGGATCTAGTTACCCAAGCCTAAGCAAGCCAGAATAATACTGACTGGCTCTCAGTCAGTCTCCCAGGAAGAGTTCTTGTTAGGTGAAATCAGGGAAAATCCATTTGTTTCTCTCTTCCTTGGGGAGGCCAATTTTAAGGCGGCGTGCCTTGAAATTTGGAGCTGATGGCTGGCCCACTGAGAGCTGGGAGGATGCAGGGAGTGAATGTATCCTCTGTCTCTAAGCCACATCCCCTTCCCACTCCCCTATCTCACTTCTGGGAATCTTTTGAGTGCTTTAGCCTCCACTTTCTTTCGTACTGTAAATTAGGGATTGTAAACAAAACCTAATGGTTCGATGTGAACTTCTGAAACTCCTTTCCCAGGGCTCCCAGCTAACAGTTATTATCTGTAATGCTGTTGACTTTAATCCAGTGTAGTTTCCAGAATGAACTGAACCAACARTTCCATGGTCTGTAGGTCCCTTATGGTTGTAGGCAGCTATGGGCCATGATCCCGGTTTGTGAGCTGTGATACCCGGTTTTGTTGCACAGAGRTCATAAGAAATTTAAAAATGGGTTAAAGTTGTGACTCCTCATTATCCAGGAGTTGTTACTCTTTATTTCTTACTGTCTTCACAGTGTGGATGCATCTCACCTGATTTTAGATCCGTGCATGTGAGCCAATCATTTTTTTTATAGTTACTAGGAAAAAACCTCCTTTTTTTTTTCTTTCCTAAGCTAACTTTTCAAACAATCAGACTTTAGAGCCTTGGCTTACAAACTGTGAGAGATGAAGGCCTCTGCCTTGTTTTGCAAGGCAACCAAATAATGTGAAATACTAGAAAAATCAGGAGTATTGCATGAATCAATTTCATTTTCTATTACTCAGTAACCAGAAGGTGGRTCACATTAGGGAGGTCTGTACATGAAGGCTTCTTTCCCTTTCTCCAAACAAGTAAACCATAATTCTGGGTACAGATAAAGGAATACACTTCCTAATGACACCTGGAAAGGAGGCAACTGTCAGGCTGCTTACACTGAAACTAAAATATGAATTGAGTTTGCAGGATGCTGTTGCTAAATCACCAGAAGGTAGCAYTTAAAAGGAAATAAAGTTAGAAAGTGAGTGAGTTTGTTTTCCACAGTAAAATTAGTAACCCAAGCAGAGTTTTATATCAATTGAGAAGTATCTGTCCTTCCTTGTCTCCTGCTCTCTCCGGCCAATATCAGTTTAATTTAAAGGAGAGTAGAGTCTTCAAAGCTGAAAAGCTTTGGATTGACTTCTTCAATACAGCAAAGGCAGGCAGAGGATCAGGACCCTGGCTGATTCCTTCATTTTGAGGTATTGTTCAGTGTGAACTYAGATGCCATAAAATCCACATGGAAGGGAGACTTCATGGAGGCCCTGCCTCAGGAAAAGCTTTTCTCAGAGCATGTGTCCTGTTGGACATGGGTAGGTAAAACCAGCAGATGTAATTCTCAGTAAGGTTTTCAGCAGCAGAACTGCTTTTAAATTCATACAACTGGGGAGAAAATGACCTGGTTTGACTTCTTTTGGAGCTCTCTCAAGTTCATATCTCTCACTGTGTTTCAGGAGCTGTTTGGTGCTGTGCAGGTCACCCCTCTGAGCTCGGGCTACGCCCTTGGAAGTTCCAATTGGATTATCCAGTCACACTATGAAAAGGTTTCTTAYGTTTCAGGATCTTCTCTGCTGACAACACACCCTCAGGTACAGCCCCTGACTTTTGTCAGTCTTTAGGAGGAACTTTTGCTCAAAAAATGAGGGGTTATTCCAACTTGGATCAGGTTTAAGATAGAGGATATACTAAGGTAACTGTGTTATCAGTGGCTGGACTTAATGGGCATTGATAAGATGTACCCTGATAAGTGACAGGTATCAGTAGTTACTAAAGGAAAGATAACTAAAATTCGTTGGTATTGGTGATTTGATGTTAACTAAAAACTGTGAAATTGCTTTTCATTCTAAATAGGGAATTTTCAACAGAGTTGAACAAAAGAGCATTAGTGTCTTTTTTTTTAAAAATCCATATTTGACTGAGGAGTCTTCACAGACAGTTCACAGACTGCTTTATATCACTTCTGAAACATCCTTCCTTGGGAGAAATGATAGCTAACTGGCTGCCAACTTTTCCACCCTGCTCTACTAAGGGCAAAGTCTTTATAGTGCTGTAGATGTAATTTCCAGTAAATTAATTCTCTCTAGATCCATAAATTCTTAGTGCGAAGAATGGCTCGAAGTTTGCAGTGCCTGCACTTCAGAAGTTGTCAAAATAGTTAAAAGCATTATTGCAGGAGGTCTTTAAAATTAATTTAGAAGATGTATCAGGTTCTTGATCAGTAAGTAATTTCCCCCAAGGTGGGTGTCTGCTGGAGAGCTTTGCTTCTGAGCATCCCTCACTTAAAAGCTGAGAAACTACAGTAGATAAATGATCCTTAATAGTAGGGCCATCCTTAGATGCACMAAATGTATCAGAGCCTCTAAATTTCCATTTCTCAGCAGCCTCATTCCATCGTGGCCTGTGCTCTCTTATCCCCTCCTGCACAAGGAGCAGCAAGATTTGACAGTGTGTGAATGGAATATTTCTGTGAGGAGAAACTTTGCCCTGTAAGAAGTTAATCTGGTGACTGAGAATGTTTTCTCCTCATTGACATGAAATGGTGATTCAGTTTATCAGGTCAGGCTGGYCATGCTTCATCAGTTCCCAAAGGTGAAGGTTTCTCTGGAAGCTTCTGGTAAAATCCCATTTTAAAGGAAATTACTCCCAGTGGCAGGGAATGGGGTGTGGTGAACTGCTCTTTGGAAGGAGTAGCTTAACAGTTAAAATCCCATTCAGTTTRTACTTTTCTTGTTATTTACCACATCACAGATGTTTCCCCAGATCATCATTGCCTTGCATTTGCTTCCAGATGTTTTTTGAAGACAATGGATAGTTTTTGTCCTGGGGTTAATCCCTGAGCACCAGCACAGGCTGCTACAATCTGGTGTTCCTGTATGGAGGTTTTGGGAGCTGCCAACCAGCTCTTCATCATCTCTTTGATGTCTGACAGACCATATGTAATGATAACAATATCTTGAGTGGCACACAGTCAGAATTGTGAGCAACAAATCCGTGCTTTATCCTCAGGGAGTGGGAAGTTCTTCATCTGACCCATTTCTCTGTAGGATGGTGGTGAAAAGTTCATAATGAAATTCCCAATTTTTTTAGCAGGTTGTGAAAACAGTCACTGTGTTTTGTTTTWAAAAGGATGTCCTTTGAACATATCCAAAGCTTCTTTTCCAGTGAACTGGGAGTTAGGCCTGGCACCATTAACTCTTCCCTGTTCCTCTGGCAGATGGTTTCCATCAAAATTTTGCCACCCCCTCTCCTGAGGCTGGAATTGACACCGTTGCCACTGAAGTGGAGAACAAGAGTTGACAGCACAGGTTCAGAYGTGTCACTAAAAGCTTTTTAAGACATATTCTTTACATTAACCCACAAAAATCAATGCAGGCCCTCTCAGTGCAATGGCAGCTGAAATTATGCGGATCTAATATGCCATAATCATTATGTACATTATCACAGGCAGATTCCATATGATTTTTTATTGCATTATTGGCATTTCATTTTCATGGACACACTACGGAGAGTCAAAGATGGGGATAAATCTCACGTGTCAGGTCTGATCCTACAAAGGGRTGCACAATGTGAACTTCTGTCAGARTTGCTGTGAAATTYCCCTGCATGTTTAACAGARCAAGGTCCTTCTCAACTGCTTCAGRAGGGCTCTGGAGAGCTGTGAGCAGGGGAATTGACCTTACAGTGGTCTTGGAGGTCGAGCAGAGGAAATCTCTTCATCTGTCTCTTCTGGCACAAATCTTTCCTGGTTGGTGAGACTGCAGAGGGTTGTTTATTGAGAGTAAATAACCATAAAATACCACACAGCTGCCAGCAGTTGCCCACTTTTGCTTGAACAGTAGCTGTGGGAAGTGCATCCCAACCCTGAGTGAGGCTCAAAGTTACCTTTTCACCATCTGCAGAGAGAGAAGTGGGTTTTACCTTATCAAGATTGGATCAGGCTGAGTTTTCAGTATCAAGAATATGTATTTAGTGTCACATTAAAGCATAATTTCTGAATATCTACTTTGTGTTTGCTGATGCAGAGAAATAGGTWTGCATTTTCATTCTGCTTTGATAAAACACCAATTTAAAACAAGGTAGGTTTCCACAGGTGGAGGAATGCTCAGTTTAAAGTGTTTTTGAAGTGGTGACTGTATTTATGATGTCCTGCCTGGAGAGACTCTCCCATTCCTGATTTGATTTCCCTATGCTCTGTTCCAGCCCATGGACCAGGCYTCTCTTAAAAACAGCGACGTTCTCATCCTGACGGGGCTGACCCAAATCCCCACTGCCAACCCCGATGGCATGGTGGGAGAGTTCTGCAGCAACCTGGGTAGGTCACTGAGAGAAATCTCCTGCCTATTTTATCCTCTTATTCATGGCTTTGGGTGGGAAATAATTCTGAGATTCCTGGAATTGAATAAGTTGTCCAGCTATAGCTCCTGGCATAAAACTACCTGTTTAGATTTTACAACGTGCTCCTGATGCCATTAATACAGTAAGTGCTTGGAAAGACACAAGTTGTACCTAAAATGTTTTGGAATGGAACAGGTATAATGAGATTTAATCATCTTCTGCTCCTGGTTTGGTCAGGATGTCACTTGGCTGCCAACAGGCTACGTGTTGCCTGGCCTTTGGATATTGTTCCCAGCTGAAATATTACTATTTCCTTCCTGTGTATCAGCCAGAGTAAAACCTTTACGTGCTGCTTTTTTATGACTTTCAGTTTTGAAAACAAGCACATCTGCTTCCCTTTTTACACCTGACTTTTAAATATATCAAAAGCAAACAGCACAATCTCTGCTTAAAAAAAAAAAAAAAGCCAAGATATATTTATAGACCCCCAGAAATATAAAACCTAATCAGATGCTTTCACAGCTGGAAAAGCTGATAATTGCAAAGCTGTGGTATCAGTGTGAATGGCAGCATTTTCCAGCCTGTTTGGAATGTCACATCCAGTGCTGTTCTCTCCTTTTCTCCCCTTCCCCCTGCTCAGTTCYTCTGTGCTCTCACCCTTCTTTCATCAAACCACTTTGCCATGTCTGTCCTGCTCCATGTTGCCTGTTCTTTTAGCAGAGATCTTGCCTTTATTTTAAATTTACTACTTTTTACAAATAAAACTAAAAAGTTTGTGATAGGAAGATCCTGACAAAGCTTACAAAAAAAAAGTGAAAAGACTCAATCAGATTAAATTTCTGGTCTGGTAGAAAGTCTGGTGAGCAATTTCTGGTCCCTGCCCATGACAGGGGGTTGGAACTGGATGATCCCTAAGATCCCTTCCAACCCAACCCATTCAATGATCCTAAATATCTGTTAATAGAGCACATTTGGGCATTTTATAAGAATGATAATCATGGGTTTTACTGAAGATCCTCTCTGCCAACATCCTGGCTCCAGCAGAGACTGTGAACAGATGCCTGGAGARGAGTAGGAGAGCAGGGTGAGATTATAGGATACTTTCCTCTCATAATCTTTTAAGTATTTTTATTTCAGGAATTTCCTCAATTGGACCTGATTATGTAGTTAATGATGTCCAGTGGATTCATTCAACCTCCCCTTGAAAGCTGTGTTAACACCTGTGACTTCCTTTCCTAAATGTGTGTTTTTATGTGTGTGTGTGTATTTAATCTGTGTTTTCATTGTTTTTAAAAATTTTTGTGAATTTTATTACCCTGTGAGCTGCCACAAATCAGCTGTGGTGACCTTGTTTTGGTAAATCCAGATGTGCTGCCCTTCTCTGTCCCTCCTGAACCTTCACAGGGGTCACTGTCCCCCTGACAGATGGTGGCAATCCCCTCCTATCAAGCTGAGTGAATAAGAGTGAAACTGTTAATTAAAATGTTTTTAAAAATTAAAGTGTTAGAGATGTAGCTGGGCCAAATCTGGATCCAGAAGYTGACTGTGTATAAATAAACGTGTTACATGTGTCAGTGCAGGTGGGTGTTTGCCTGCACAACTTGTTCTGGTTTACAGAAACATTCTGAACGATTCTGGGGGTTTTACAGATCCTCAAGGCAGCTTCTGTCTTGAATGAGACAAACTTAGAGAAATGAGAAAATTACTAAAGACGAAAGGGAGATTTTATTTAAAATAATCCCGTTGTAAGAATCTGGAATTTGAGGGGTATTTGCCAAAAACCAGCAATCTGAAGAAATTAAATAATTCTATATTAATGCAGTTCTAGGGTTGTCTTTTACGTGACACCAGCTGTATTTACCTACCCAACATCAGKAAATGAAAATAGAGAATCAGTTTTCTTTCAAATATGTAAAAAAGTCCAAAAGCAATGCATTAATGGGAGAAGTTGARTAGATAAGCTGAGCACAGCAGTTTTCATCTGTTTTTTCCTATTTCCAGAATGCTCAGGGCATTGAACAAGCAGCTTAGAAACAGCTAGGTAACAACTCTAAAGCAGACCAAAATTTACCAAAAAATGTATGTGAGGAAGTACGAGCATGTTTGTGAGGGAGTGAGGTGATGCACAGAAATAAAAGTGAGAAAATTTCACCTCAATCTCTGTTTCCATGCCAGCATTTGGAGCTGCAGACCCGATTCCCAGGATTCCCAAGGCACACACAATTTCCCCCTCACCCTGTGGGGTGTGAAGCACTAACACCACACTCTGTCCCACCCCAGTTTACCCCAAACTCCGTTTTTTTTTCCCTCCTCAGCACTGCAGCTCGAGGAGAGCAGTTTTATTTCCACATTGCCTTGGGCAGCATCAGCAAAGCTGCCAGTCTGTCTGTGGGGACAGTTGGTGATATTTTGTGTGAGCGTGAGGCTGTGTGTGTTTATAGAGAGCAGAAAAGAGCACAGTTTGCTTTTTAGGTGCCAACTTGACCTTGTGGTGGCAGCTGTTGGAAAAACGAGGATTTCTCTGTGAGTTGTAAATTGAACAACTCGTTCTGGAGCTAYTGAAGGAGACTAAATTTAAAATGCCAAGATTATTATACAACTTTTATCAACAGAGAGCATCCATCAGTCACCGAGATAAATTGGGCTTTAAACAGCTTTCAGAGAGATGTGTCCTTTTCCTGACAACTCCAGAAAGTTGTTGTAGTGCTGCAGAGAGCCAGGTTGCACCTGCTGCTTGTGTAGAAAGCAAAATGCTTGGAAAGGTTTTCCCCCTGTTCTGCAGAAGCTGGGAGGTGATTCTTGTCCCTTTTTGGATTCCTGGCCTGGTGGGCACCTGGCTGGAAGCATTCCAGGATTGTGGAAACTGCCTGGATTGTGGTTTTATATCAATTATTACTCACCAGCTCTGTAGTTCTGCTGGGGATAGAAACTCAAGCTGAATCTCCTCCAAAACTTTKCTCTCCATTATTTCCTCTGTGACCCCAGGAATCTTGACCTTGTGCTGGTTTGCAGCAAAAAAAAGCTTGAGGTTTCCAGAGAACCAGTGGGGAAGGRAAAATCGGGAATTCGGGCTGAACTGGGTTTGGCATGGCCAGGTTTTGGTAGTGTGGGGCTACAGGCATTATTTCTGTGAGGGATTTCCAGAAGTTTCCCCCATTCCAGCTGGCTCCAGRATGGACCCAAGGCCTTCAGAGATGGTGGTGGCACCTCTGGGATAATTGGAGAAGGAGACAGAAGTTACTGAGCAGGAGCAGTGGCAGCCAGGGAAGAGAGGAGTGAGGATATGTGAGGAATAAYATACATAACATTAATTACATAGCTCCCAGGGCCAGGAGCAAAATTTTTAGGTTTGGCATGGCCAGGTTTTGGGATTTTTTTTAATGTCTCCATGCAAATTCAGGTCCTGGAGCCAGAGCCTCAACTTCCACCTCCAGATGGCTTTGAAAATGTTGTTGTTAATCTCCTCATCCCTCTCTTCACATCCTGTTTACAGCTGGGATAGTTTGGATTTGCCCGTGGGAGTGGGATAATGTAACACATTGCTGGGATGTTTGGGAACATCTCGAGTTTTAGACAAATGTGAACTGTTGCTGTGCATCTTCACRAATATTTTGATGGTATAGTTTGTATATGGCCTGGAAAAACAAATCCACTACCTTGCAGTTGTATTTTAACTGATGAAAAAGGGGCCTTTGATCACCAGTTGTTGATTGCACTGTGTCATAGGCAGTGACTGCTACAAGGAGTAAAAATACTGGAAATGCATGTGAAAAATCCTRCTAGACTGTGCATCTCCCTAAACTCCCCAAAACTTAAACATTCAGCCAGAAAAACCTTCCTTGAGGAAGATTTTGCCCCATGTAAGTGGGGAAAAAAAGGTCTTTAAAGTGCTAAATCCATACTGCAACAAAGCTCAGCAAGAAATTGAGGGGGTGCAATATTTGTGTTTTCAGGCTCTTSCACAGCTTTCTGTGGAATGCTTGGTGCATCATTTTATTGCTGCTGCACTGCAATTAACAGCAGTGGATGGTTTTACCCCACAACCACAGGTGAAGTTGCTAATTGAGCTGAACAAAGTATTTCTCCTTTCCCAGAAGGTGCAGCATTTTTGTAATYCATTCTGCCAAAAGAACACAATGTTTGCTCTGCTTGCTTTTGCCTTTGTGCTCAGATCTGTCTCAATTACAGAGTAAACCTATTTTTCCTTTTTCTTCTCATTTTTATCTAGTCCCATGCTGTCTGCAGGTTTTAAATTATTCTTGTTACATGGAAAGGACAGAAATATTTCAAGTTTTTAAAAAGGACGAACATTCCATCACCCATTTCTAGCTCTGAGGGCTGTTTGAAATAACCACATCATCTTTTCATCTGAAATCCAAGCACAGAACAGCTCACCCTGTGMAGTGCTTCAAGCTGAGACCTGGGAGGTGTTGTCCTTCCCTTCWGGGGGACAGCTAAGGGATGGAGCGGGGTTTATTTTGATGGTGAGGTGGTTTTGATGCCTAAAACATGGCTCACCTGAAACAGAGGCCAGACAAAGTTAAGAGAATAAAGCAGACAAATTTAATCCAGGCCTACTGGTGCGTTGAGGGCAGACAAAACCTCCTCCTGAGGCTACACCCAGAATGGACCCCGAGTCACAAGATATTCCCCTTTTATAGGTTCTGTCTCATTAATATATTGGGCCTCAATTCCCCAGTGACACCTTCAGGTGATGATGTCAACCACCCCAAACCTGCTCCCCCAAATTCTCTGTTGTTTCCATATTTTGGGGCTCTGAGGCAGTGAAGTGTCCTTGGATTTTAAGCCCAGAGAGGAATTGTTTTATCTAAAATGGGAGAGCAGCTTTAGCGCTGTGCTAGAGAAGTACAAGAATACAGATAGATGAAAATACAGAAACTAAAAATCCTAAGGCATCAGTTTGTGTCACTCCTTCATCTTCCTGTGCCAGTGCACGGCTGCCCTCTCYTGTCAGGAGTTTTCCATGTGCTTGGGCTGTCGTGTGCCCCCAGCTGAAGGAATAGAATCGCTCCACTGAGCATGGAGAAGGCAGGAAATAAATCTAATGATCAGAGGTTTTCTTCCCAATTCATGTGCATAATGTGCTGTGCTAATTCATGCAAAAGCTGTTTTTTTTCTATAAAATTTGGGTGAAAAGAATTTATGACAGGTTTCAATAGGAGCCCAGTGAATTGATTTCTGTGTTGTCTCTCCCTCAGCCATGACGGTGCGGAATGGAGGCAACGTGCTGGTTCCCTGTTACCCCTCTGGAGTGATCTACGACCTGCTCGAGTGCCTCTATCAGTACATCGACTCTGCAGGGCTCTCCAATGTCCCCTTTTATTTCATCTCACCTGTTGCCAACAGCTCCCTGGAGTTCTCCCAGATCTTTGCYGAGTGGTAGGTGATCAAAGGCACCCCTGTTGCACCCTCAGCTGTGGCAAGAGGCCAGGTGCAGGTTATCTGTACCTGACAGATTCTGAAATACACCTGGTTAGGATTGTGAGCACGTTCCTGGAGTCACCAGGGGGTGTGTGTGTGTAAGGACATGTTCTATAATTAGGGAAGGATCATTTCCTGCAGAACGTGCAAACTCAAATAATCTCTGCTCTTTGCTACTTACACTAATGAGTAAATTATGTTCCTGACTTGAGTGAGTTTTAGCTGTGCCTTAGCTCCCAAAACTCTACCCTGGTGTCCCTGGCTAAGCAGAATAKAGTTTTCAGGCTTAATTCTGCTGAGCCGTTGCAAGAAAAGGTTAAGAGTGTCCTGGGTTGCATGAGGCAGAGCAGAGCAGACCCCGCAGGTCAGAGATGGGATCCTGCTCTGCTCAGCACTGCTGAGGCCMCATGGACAGTGTTCTATCCAGTTCTGGGCTCCCCAGTAGCAGAGGGATATGGGATTTCTGGAACAAGGCCAGCACATGGGGCTGAGGGAGCTGGGACTCTCCAGCCTGGAGAGCAGGAGGCTCTTGTCCTTGTGCAGAAACACCTGATGGGAAGTGATGAGGATGAGGGATCAGTCTCTTCAGCCCACTGGCAGAACAAATTAAAACAGCTGAAATTCCATCAGGGTAKGGGATTTAAACTGCCAGAGGGMAGGGATAGATGRRGTATTGGGGAGAAATTCTGTCTTGTGAGGATGGGGATGCCCTGGCACAGGRTKCCCAGAGCAGCTGTGGCTKCYYCTGGATCCCTGGAARTGTCCAAGGCCAGGTTGGATGAGGCTTGGAGYAGCCTGGGACAGTGGAAGGTGTCCCTGCTCATTGTGGATGGRATGAACTTTATGGTCCCTTCCAACSCAAACCATTTTAGGATTCTCTGATTTTTGAAATGCTGGGACCTCTGTGCAGAGGCTTTGCTGTGGAGACATCAAAATCCAGCTGGACCCAATCYTGGRTAAYSTGCTCTGGCTCAGAGTGCTTGAAAAGGAGTTAAACTCCATCTCAGGAGATTCCCTCCCAACCTCAACCATTCTGTGATTCTGARCCCTGGAAAGGAGAACCAACCACTTGGAGCTCTTCCCAAATTMTTAGAAATTGAGACATTTTAATTGACATTGCTCTAAAATATTAARTACAGTAAGGTAGCTTTTCCCTTCTTCCTCTCCAGATTTTGGAGTTCAGGAAAGAAAAGAGGTCCTGGAAATCTTGTGTGAATTGATCCTTCAGGAGAATTGTAAAGAKCATTGAAATCTGGTGAATTTACAAGGAAATGGAGGCAGAGGTTGAACACCTGTAAAAAGGAGGTTTGGGGTCAGAACTGTGGTTGATATTTAGGGATTCCAGCCTTTAATTTTACTCTTTACTCAGCTAAAGGAAATGTCTTGCTCTTAGTATCCCTTAAACTTTATCAAAATTAGTTTGACCTAGGCTCATTTCCTTTTAATGAAGTGCAAGTATGAGCCAGGCAGTGTTTCCCAGAAAAAGCCACCAGGATAGTGTCACTGCAGATGATTGCAACGTCACCCAGACCTCTGACAAACAGCTTTTTTTAGCTGCTGTAATAGGATGAATCAGGWGGCTGGGCAGAGCTCATCAACAGCTCTCAATATCTCTGTTTTAAAGATAAGTGATTGATGGGAAATGCCAGGTCACAGTGAGCCCTGGGCCRTGGGGAGAGGCATTTTACCAGCATTGTAACTGCAGTAATAAAATGCACAGGGGGATTAAATTACCATGAGCAAGAGGACCAAAGCACTGCTGATAAGTGGGATGAGGCAAGTGGAATTTTTTTGTTGACAGATGATTTGGCTTTGCAAAAACTCCCGAAGTCTGGACTAGGAACTGTGGATGTTAAGGTACAGATTTGTCTCCAGCAGCAGAGCTCTGTTCCATCTGCCTTGAACCTTCTCTATGTGCTCCTGCTGTAACCAAGTTGTTGAGTCCTCTATTCAGAAAGACTCGAAGCCAACAAAACAAATTGTTTTTTGTTTGCATCTGATGCCTCAGATCCAAACTGGTTTTCTCCAGGAGTGTAACAGTAGATGGCAGCAGATGCTGCAGRATGTGCTGCACTTCTAACCCAGCTGCTTTCCTTTTCTTTTAAAGGTTGTGTCATAACAAACAAACAAAGGTGTATCTTCCAGAACCTCCTTTTCCCCATGCTGAGGTGAGTAAACCACGATCTTGTTTACTTTCTGCATCACAGTCCACAGCACTGGAGCTGTTGTTTTTCTGAYGAGCCCTCCTACAGCTATTTAAGTTTAGTTAAATTTTTCATAAAAGTGCTGTTTTGCCTTTGCTCTCTGTGATGAATTTGGGAGCGTGGGGAAGGACTGAACGATGGTGTTCCCTCAACTCCAAAATTACCCTGTTTATAGCAGCCTATCACTTCCACAGGCTGGCCTGGTTCACTCCTTCCCCCGCAGAAGGAGATCTGGTGTGGGATGTTTGCTCTTATCAGCTGCAGCCACCAGCATTCCCCTTGTCCAAGCAGTTGATTTCCAAGTCTGTGAAACTAAGAGCTTGTTAGCAGAGACAGCTTAGTCATGCCAGCTCCTTCCTCCCTAACTGAAGCAGGCACCGTGTCTGCTGCAGGGGAAATGGTATCTTGGAAGAGAGATTTTAGATCAAAATTTAAAGTTTGCAGCACTCGGTGCTGTCAGTGGCAATTTTAAATGGAATTACTTGAGCGCCGTAGTGAAGCAAAGAGGAATGAGGCTCCTAAATTTGGAGGATTTCCTGCAATGTGTGGTGAGGGCATCTTCCCTGCAACAAAATCRTAATTTGAGGGGAAGTTTTAGCCAAGCAGATGTTAAATAAATGTGGTGTAACTGATACCTTCAGAGTTATCTCACGTATCAGGACAGGAAAGTCTCCCCTGGGAGCAGGTAGTTTTCCCAGTGAAGTAAACAAGAGGCAGAAACAGGACTGAGAATTTTAGCTAAATCCTATTCCTGTAAGACACTAAACCACTTAGGCACGGAGGAAGCTTCCTCTTGTAGGTGCTATGGTGCAAATTGATAAGATGTGCAGAGTGGCCGTGGCAGGTTTGAGAGCCCAGAAATTCAATGCTTTCACAGACWTTGGGTGTTTTTTGCCTCTGAGATACCTCATCCAGGGACTTTTTCTGAAAATTGCCATTACCCATCATATCTATCATCTGTAGGTGCTTCAAAGGCGTTGCTGGATGTAGGATCTGACCAGGAGCCCTCACTCTTTCCAGATCCTTGAATGTATTTCAAGCAGGATGTGCAGTGAATTATGTATAATCTGTTACCAAGAATAATGTGGACTGCAGGGCAAGCCACCTGTGCACCGCTTATTTTCTAACCAAAAAATTCATTCCCACTGATAAATCAATTCAAATTCTCWGAGTAYGAGGCACTGCAGCCTTGTTGCTRGCTCTGCTTTCTGTCTTGCCCTCCWTCCCTGCTTYCTGGGGTGTCCTTGTTGATCCTCAGTGTCATTGGATTCACCGACAGCCATGTKCTGCTTCACAATATTCCCTGGAACTGGCAGATTTAAGTGAAAACCCATCCAAAAACAAGAAGCCAAACATGCAGCTGTCAAAAACTGGATTAATTAACCCATCTTATATGATGGGTCTTTGTGTTTATAGAGTGATAACTCTGTCCTGTAATTCCTGGGACGTTTTATATTCTCGCAGGGCCTGTTGATAGSGAGATTTTGCCAAATTATTGTGTGGCTGTTGAAGCAGCTTTGCAAGAGCTGCTGTGTGCCTCGTGTGTAGATCAGGGTAATTATGGAGGAAAGGCCTCACAGCAGTGGATCACAGATCTGAGGCAGGAACGTGCCCCTTCCAGCTGCAGGATGGAACATCCCACAGAATATCCATGCCAGGACCCCGGTGCTCAGCACGTGCCTTGGGTTCCTCGTTAAATCTCCAAAAATCTCACACCTGACCCCGTGTTTCATTCACACAGTGTGAAACATCCATAAAACCTCTTCCCAGCACAATCCTGCGCCTCCACAACCCCCTCTGAGRCAGGAGCTTTGCTTACTGGCACTTCAGGGGATTTTTAATGAGTGTCAGAAACAGACAGTGAACGATGGTTTCTGTTGGAGAGGTTGTTAGTGGAGAATTGCTTGGCTTTTTTCAAAGTAATGGTAGGCTTGTGCAATGTAACCTGTGCTGAAATTGCCCATCATGAAAAGATGTGCTTAACTGCTCAGTTGTTGGAGGAAAATAGGGAATTACTCAGACATGCCTCTTACTTCTTAGGAAGCATTAATACATGCCTGGCATGATACATCAGAGAGGGACAGGCCAGGAAATAAGCTTCTAATTATCCACAGAACAAGCCCAGCCCAGCATGATGCTGGTCCTGAAATTTGATGTTSCTGTTAGTTGTATCAACAGCAAGATTTAAAAACAAAGAAGGCAAAAAATCCCCCAAATCCTCGATGTTGTCCCTTGCAGCAATGAGTTCCAGCAGTGCCTGATGTGTAGTATAACAGACTAATTCCTTCCTTTAATCAGCTCTGATTATATTTGGCRTTTCACTTAACTATGCCTTTATTATTGTCACAAGAGGATAAATAAAAGCATCTTCATTGTCTCTACAATTACTATTTTTATTTCTCCTTACTCTCTACACACAGTTGTTTGAAGCTTTTGCATTCTCTCTGCATGGAAATTTTCCACTTTTATGATTTATGTTGCGTGTTTTGAACTCGYTCCTTGTTCTGCTCTGCTGAATAAAACCAGACACATGTTCAGCTCTGCAGAGAACCCAAAGCATTTCTCCCCCCTTGTTTAATTCCACTTTAATGGAGCAGTAGATGTTCATCTTATCTCCTCCTACACAGTCCTGGTACAGTTCTAGTGGTGGCAGTTTGTTCTCTGAGTGAACAGGGAATTCTTTTCCCTCTGTTAGGAGCAAGGAATGTGGCCTGAAGTATTTTGGGTGTGTAGGGATGGATTTGGACATCATTTCCTGCTAAAGTTAATAGAAGTGGAACATCCAGATTCTTGCTGAAATCTCTCCTGCTGCCTTTTAAGTGGTGCACAAACTGAAAGAGCTTCTTTTTAAAGGCATTTTTGAGGGAAGAATTGCTGTGATGCTGTTGGATGGAGTTGGGATTTGGAGCAGGGCTGCTGTGCCCTTCAGGTATTTCCTCTCAGGAGGAAAACCAGGGAAGTGGAGGAAGCTTGGGAAGCTCTGTGGGTTCCTGTCCCCTGTGCTTGAACACGAGTGGCAATGCACATTTTCACCAGCAGATATTGTGATGGAGGAGGAGGAGACCAAATTGAAATAACGCTGCGAGCTGCTACAAAGTTCCCAACTGGAGATCCCAAATATTTATCAATACAACAGGCTGGCAAGGCAGGGGTGGCTTTCGTTTCCAGGATCCACTATATCCAAGGATCAATTGCCTAAAAAAGCTCAGATTTAAGCTCCTCAATGCCTTGCTGAAATGCTGTGGAGCAGAAAGCAGTAATTTGTTTAGCTTAGAAGTGTTATTTTGGTATCCCACAACCAACATGTGGTGTTTTACCAAATTCCACAGGGGAATATCCCATCCCAGCACAGCCACAGATGAGGAATTAAGGGTCTTTTTGATCCTTTTAACAGCATCCATGGATTGTACACTCTGCACTATCCCTTTGTGGAGGTGGAGGCTTTATAAATGAATGGCTCAATTGGTGGAGCTGAATTGTTCCTCTCTGTTCGATCTTTACATGGACAATTTCAGGCTCTAAGATAAGTGAATCCTGACTCCTCTTAATGCCTGCAACAATAAAATTTGAGAGGTAATTTGTATTGATCAGTATTTGCCGGTGGAGGAAGAATTTGGATTTACTGTGCTCTTATTAAGGATTCTGTTAGCAGCGTTGAAGAGAAATGGCTGCAAAACCCCTTTTCTTCWGACTCAAAAAAGAGCCAGGGTGGGACTAATATTGATTCTGTGGTTTTAAATACCAGCATTTGTCTTCYTCATYTTTGATTCCCTCCTCCTTTACCAGTTCCTGCATAACACACTTCAATAAATACCTGGAAGCAGGTGATTGTTTAGAATTATGGTTTGTCCTATAGGATTGTATAGAATTGTGCTATAAATATTATCATCCARGAGTTGGACTCRACCATCCACGTGGGTCCYTTCCAACTCTGGATATTCTGTGATAGAATTAGGCCYCTGTTAGTGTTGATGTGATGGAGGTGAAGAAATAAATGCATCTCTCATTTCCTGATAGGAGCCACATCTGTTCCAGATTCTGGATACAGAGCACACACACTCAGAGTAAACAGCAGTGTATTTTGGCTCACTTCAACAAAGGGTACACAAAGGCTCTGGAGATTTATCCTGTTTATAGCAGCAGTTGCTGACCCTGTAAATCAAGTCCACAGCTTTAAAGGGAAGCAGAACCATTGGGGATTTCAGAAAAACACAGCTCTCACTCTCGATTCAGTACTTTACCAGCCTCTATCTCTTAAGCTTTCAGTCAATAGTGGTTCTTTCTGTAAAAAGATGCTCTGAATGTTGCTTCTGCTTTCCACAAACCAGTCCCATGGTGGAAATAKCAGCTGGCCCCGTGCCAAGCATTGGTTTTGGCCCAGGCTGGAGGTGTGACCATGGCACAGCAAATGCTGTCATGTTTACACACCCCATCTCATCTGGAGACATAAAAAAACCTGCACAAATCATTACAAATTCAGTCMCTTTAATGATTGGTGAAATTTCGTTGGACCTGTTCTGCAAGTTCAGCTCCATATATTTTTGATGGGGTGATTAGAAGAGATTTTACTGGAGACACTAAAATCCACCAGCTGCTTTCTCAGTGGAGGGAGCAGAATGTCTCTGAATTTGTTTTTGTAGCCTTTCACCCCTGCTCTGGCCACCTGTGCGAGTCAGGGATCGTGAGCCGAGCTCTGGAGCCTCACCAGACTTAACAGAAAAGATCTGGCAAGATAAAAAGAAGAGATGAAAAAAAATCATCACCAACGAGCTCCTGAAAACTGGATTAGAGATCCTTTACAAAGTAATAGGAGGGGATTTGAAGCTTCCATAATGCTTTGAAGAAARTACAGCTTTTATGTTGCTTGAGCAGTGCACATTTGTGTAGGAATGGCAGGGAAATGAGCTGTTCAGTGCTCCTGCACATCCAGTGCTGCTCTCACATCTTCCCAAAGCTTTGAGTGCTGCATACAAATACAATATTTGAAGGAACCTGTGAAAGAAGATGCTGGAAGAACGGTTTCAGGGTTTCAGGACTGCCTTGTATAAATGTTGGCTGTAGAAATGTCTTTCCCTGACCTGTCTGCCTGCCCCTGGCAAAGTTTTCCCCTGGAATGTCACATATCCCATTTAATATTTGAAATAGAAATCATCTTCCTCTGCCAGCTTAAGCAATTGAAACTGCTTCTGCAATTTCAGTTTTGAGACTTTTGGCTTCCCTCAAAAAAACTAAACATAAACAGGAAAAAGCTTTTTGAGGCCATTTCCTACAAGTTCATTTAAATGTCAGTATTTTATRGAGTCAAATTTGTTTTGCCCATTGTCTCCTAAAGTGCAGTTTTTATTACTGAAGCTAAGTTTAGATTCTAAACCCTGCACTCCAGATGTGTTAATCAGAAATCTTTACCAGTRTAATTGCAGGAATGTTTTTGAGATTCAGTGCATATCAACTGCCAGCAGTTTTTGGATTTTTTTTTTTCCAATTTCCCTCTTGAAGTTTAAATAGGAATTGGATATAACTTGCAATGAAATGGTGGTCCTGTGTCTATTTTCTCCATGATCCAGGGGTTCATATGGAAATCACAGGCTGTGTCCACCTATATAATAACCTTAAATTCTGAGCTGCTTTGTGGTGCTGAGAGTTGCTGAGAATTCTGTTTCTCTTGATTTCCATGCAGTCACGGTAGGTCTGCCATGGTAAAAATACGAAAAAAGTAACATAGGACAAGGGGAAATGGCYTTCAGCTGAAATGGGATGGAATGGGATGAGTTTTAAGGCTCCTTTCCAACCCAWACCATYMMATGWTTCCATGATTTATTGAAYAATCCTTTAAAAATTGGCTGAYAAAGGAAGAACCATTCCCTCTCTCAACACTCTTTATCTCCATGGTTTTCATCTCAGTTGTTCCTTGTGTGTTAAATTCCTTGCTTTTTAAGAAAACTGTATTTACAGTTATWTTCAAGCTGAAGATGGAATCATATACCTGCCAAGGAAAAACTTGCAAAATACTTCAGGAAAGTGCTTCACAGACTGGTTAATAAATGGCTTTTCAAGCTGCACCTTGTTTTGCAGGTTGGAAAAACAGTGACAGGAGAAATAAAGCAAAACTCTTCCCAAAGTGCCTTGATRAATAAACTTCTCCATCTTAGTAAAGAAATCGGTTCCACCTGCAGAGCTGATTGCACTATCTGCAAAACATTTTGTCTGCAAAACATCTCCWTGCTCTAAGTTCATGTTTATTACTGGTTTCAGGGATAGTTAAGGGARGGAAAGTCACTCTGTCCTTTTTCAGCAGATTTGTGCAAGCCTTTTAGACTGAGGAAGCTCAGCAGCATTCTGCTGAAGGCCAGAGTGCCTGGTGCTGCTGTGAGGCCAGAAAAGCAGGTTAGAAACGAGCCCAGAGCTCTTTATAGACGTGGCAAATAGCAAAAAGGAGCTTATTTTGAATTTGGCAGCTGAGCCCCTGTTCACTGCAGGGAACTCGAAGCAGGGAGTGTTTGCAGAGTTTCCTCCCAGCCACCACCCTGCTGGTACCAAAGAAATGAGAGCAAGGACTTGCAGGCACCTGGCCCCATGCTCTGACTTCCTTTTCATAACATTTATGACACTCCTGACTAAATKTGTTGGAAAATCTAAGGGATATCCAGGAAGGGACTCTGTGATGAGTTAGGAATAAATTGTAGAACATTWAGAATCTCATGTAAATAAACACACTGAAGCACAGCATGAAAAGTTGGTCATGTCTGGATTTTTTGTTTTTCTTTCAGCTCATTCAGACAAACAAATTGAAACATTATCCCAGCATCCATGGAGACTTCAGCAATGACTTCAAGCAGCCCTGTGTCGTGTTCACTGGGCATCCCTCTCTCAGATTTGGGGATGTGGTGCATTTCATGGAGCTATGGGGAAAATCCAGCTTGAACACTGTTATATTCACAGGTAAGTAAAATGGTGATGCCATTATCAAATTAACAGTTTGAGCACTCAGGTTAAGTGTGGCCACATCCCTGGGGCTTGCCTCATTTGTTCTGGGACACAAGTTTTTGACTTCAGTAGGAGCTTATCTAAATTAGGGCCCCAGGACTGGCTGCAGGGACAAATGTAATTATTGTGCCATTTAATTCAGTGTAGCCCTGCAGAGCCAACCTTTGCCACGCAGAGTCCATTCCTGCCACGTCTGAGCAAAATCTTTGTTATGCACAGCAGTATAATGCCTACAGGAAATTAATTTTTGAATTAAAAGCAGCTGGCTGCAAGCTAAACTCAAGCAGGACCTAATAGATGCTGGTCAGGAAGGAGAAACACTTGTTCTCCATTTTCCAGTGGAACCACAAACYTTTCCTCATCCCTTCTGCTGCCCTTTCATCAGGCAGTGTTTTTAATGAGGTTTCTGTCCTCCCYGCTGTCCCAGCAGTCTGCACCCCACACAGACCTGGCCCTGGGATCTGAGCTGCTCCTGCCTTTGGGCCGAGCTTTGTTCTGGTGGATTTTGGCTGACACACACATTTGTAGCTGAAGGTACAGCTCTGGTTCCTTTCTCAGTGCACAACAGGGCTCTTAAGTCCTTCCATTTYTCTCCATCTGCCTCTAGTGCTGACCCTGCTTAAAAACCCTTCAAGGCCTTCCCYTGAGCTGGGCTTCTGTCCAGGTGTGTTTATACCTGATGTGTGACTCAAATAGAGCTCTGCAGTGGGCATTCTTCTCATCTGAGAAGGCAAAGAAGAACCCTTTAGGTCCTTGCTAGTGATTCTGTGTATAAGGAGCTCTGGGATAATGAGAGCTGTGTTCTGTAGGACTTAGCCA